AGGGCTTCTTCATTCCTTCCTTCATCGTATCTTGTTTTTCCTTAGAATAGTCCTTAATGCTACTTCCTTACAGTCATCTTCCAAAGGGGAGGGCAGTTGGTACTCAGAAAGAATTAAAATTCAAAGGGACAAACCCACATGCATCATCCTCACATTAAGACTTGAGTACATACTCCACAGTTTTCTTCCTTTTCCTTTCCTTTGATAATGTAAAGTCTAAAAAAAAGTGTTTTGACAAAGATCAGCAAAATTATCCCGGCTAAACAAAACAGGGCCAGAGAATCTTTCCTGATCCTGAGATCAACTGGCACATAAGGACAAGCCTTTCTAGGCCCCTTCTCCATACTCTACTGCAGAATTATTGTTCTTTGTGTGTGTTTCTCATTCAGTGTACATGGAGTAACCTGGGGGCTATGTGCAGCAGTGCAGCCCATTAGAGAGATGCTCTCAATAGTATAAAACTGGAAGAACGTGCTATATACCTGTGGATGTGGGGAGAGACATGTAAATATAAATTGAAAGTAAGTACACTGGTGTTCTGGATTCTAAAGGTTCTCTGTGATTGAGTGTAGTTCAACAATTTGTGTTTTTTTTAACACAACGACCACCAGTACAATCCTGTCTGGAGTATCAGTACTTTTTATTTGGATCTGATATACTGTCTTTTAATATCAAAATGCAGGTAATATTAACATATATTGTAAATTTAGCTGAATATAATTTTTAATAACTAAAGTTTACTTAAAAGAACTAATCATCAAATGATAGCTTATTAATGACACTGACATGATTTCAAAATAGATTTAATAAAACATTTAAGATTACATTCTCTTAAAGGAAAGTGTTGTGTGCTGGCTCAATGGAAAAATGATACTAATAAGTCTGTCTGGGATCAAGGTTTAGAATTCATCTGGATTCTTGTTAACTGAAAACTGAGAGCTGTGGATGTCTTCAGTAACTCCAGAAGTAGAAAAAACCAAAGCACACAAACAAAAAAACCCACAACAACAACCTGTACCTTTTATCTCTGATCTCATTTTCATGAATGCTTTAAATAAATGGATTACAGTCATGTAAAATAAATAGCTAAATTAAGCCATAGACTTCAGTGGGATTCATTTGATTCTCAGCATAACTGTTACTTGATTTTATACTGGGGGCCATTTTGATCAGGTGTTTATGAAGCACTGGGTCATGGAAAAATTTCCAATTCTTTCCCTGAAAAAGTTCATCATGCTAGGAAATAAGCTGCATTTTACAAAGAACAAACTAAATTAAGTTTATGACATTTTATTCAATGAATAAAAATTAAATTTAGAAACTGGGAAACATTTATTTTAAATATATAATGCCATAAAATATTGTCAGTTATCTTCGGCTTGCTTCGTAAGTTTGACAGCGCCATATACTAGTAGGTCTCAAATCATTAGAAATAAAGGTAAAAAATACAAGGCAATATTAATACTTGATTCTCACAGAGACGTAAATTAGGTGTCATTTTAATGAAACTAACGTGTTTAAAACACAATAAACTGTGAAAATCAGGCCCTGAGTCCTTAACTGACTTTTAGTTTGTCAGCTGTTCTACCTAACATCTTGCAGGAACAGCAAGGTAAGATATATCAGCAAGGTGGATATATCTGAGCCGGACTGCCAAACTTGAAAAAAAGGTGAGTAACTTGATTCTTTTACTGATGAAACCAATTTTATAGCAATACTCTTTTTTGGAGACCTAGAAGGACTCATTTGCTGGAGGAAAGAAAAGAAAAAAAAAGAACAAAGAATGTACTTTGGCCATGTAAATTCCTTTCTTGAAACATCATGTCCACGGTCAAATAGTAACTTCCCAACAAGCACTTGAATCTCAATTTCCCATAAGATTTATCCTCACACATTTTATTTTAGATGTTCATAATATTATTGTTTGATGAGTATTGTAACTTGGAAGCATTGTAAAATTTATTCCTGGAGAATCAGGTTCTTCCTGGATGTGTTACATATGCAATCATGATTCCCAGTTTGTGAAAACTTGTTCTCCCGTATGGTACATTTTAAAGTTACTTAGAAAAGAGTTCCTCAGAAGTAAATAATTTAATGTGCTGCCTGAGGGGAAAAAGGAATAACTGCTACAAACCGCCTTTTGACACAGACACAGAATATCTGAAATAAGGGAAGATACAGCAAATCAAAAAGATAAACAGAAAAGTATGGAAAAAACCCATAGGAATAATCATAAAGTTATAAATAAAATGTGAATGTCAAATTGAAAACTGCATACATTGCCTTGGAAGCAAGCAACCATAACACCATAACATACAAACTGCAGAGTGGAGTCGAACCAGTGGTCCATCCAACCCACCCAGCAATGGTCATGATGAGAGGCTATGCAGAGAAGAGGATAGGGGAACAATGTATATATGCAATATTTCTTCCTAACATTTTCCTATCCCAGAACAGACAGATGAGATCAGACTGAAGCAAATTTTTGCCAGAATTCCCTATGCTCAGTAAGTATTCCGAAACGTCAGAAGACCTCCCTGTAACCACAGGGTCATGCTTCTGCCTTTCCACAGTCTCAGATACTTCTGTTGTCCCTGTAGCACATGTGGAGACTCAAGAAAGGGAAGTTTTGCATCAACCTTGAAACAAATTAATTCATATTCTCTGAAAACAAATGTTAAATTATCTCTGTAGGACTGAGCAACCATCAAGTCAACTTGTACCACTCAAAGCTAAAGAGTTTGGCAAGATGGAAAAGTCATGGAGTGGCTCTCTCAAGTTTCTCTCCATTATGTCCCCAAGGACTTAACTGTCCAAGATGGAAGCTGCCTCCATCATACAGGAGGGACAGAAAACTGCAAATGTTGCTTCAGAGGGATCCATACACACCTTAGAGGCTTCTCTCAAATGAAGTTGATTTAACTTAAAAATAATTTGTGCTTCTGCCACTAATTTTCTCCAGTAAAAATTTAATTTTGGAAAGGAAAAATCTCCAATATTCCCTAAAGGTGCAAATTTTCTTAAAAAGATTTCTTTAATTATTCCAAAGTGAATGGCAGCCCAAACAGGCCACTTTTTTATGTGTTTGTCTTGCTAAGGCAGAAATAACACTGGTTATAAGGTGAAGCTAACATGCACAACTTCTCAACCTGAGTGGTTATTGGGCAGCATTGTATCTGTCAGGGTGA